CCATAAACAGCCCTACCTTGTTAAAGAATAATCCTATAATTCACTATTGCCAGCTGAGAAATTGGCAAAAATATCATTTTCCTCTTCATTTTCAAACGTTTGAAAAAAGCGACTCCATGGTGGAGAATAGAAAACAAGGGAGGTAATTGGGGGGTAATTGTGTTATTATTTCCTGTGTAAACGAGTTTTAAGTGTGAGAATGACACCTATGATCGTATAATTGTGAGTTGACAACCTATTGAGAAAAAGACGTAGAAATAATTACGTTTTGACTTTCTTAGAAAATTTGAAATTCTCGCTTTAATATTACCCTTTTATTTGAAATAAAGAATATTGATATTATCCTTCTATTTATAATAAAGAATATTGATTTTACGCTTTATTTATAATAAAGAATATCGATATATTAGCCTTTTATTTGAAATTATGACCGTTTATTTTGTGTTTATTTTATAGTGCTGGTGACCAAGTACAGTTTGATGGTAAGTCAACAGTTTTATTTATTTAAAAATTATTAGACAGAGGACCTGACAAGGAACAACGTTTAGTGGTTCGGAATGGACGAAAACCCGAGGTCCCGTGTACATATTGGCGTCCACGTAAAATAACCCTTAAAAGTTGGAATTCTAAATAAGAGCAGGTGGTAGTGTCGCTGCCCGGTGAAAAAATTTGTCATAGCAAAGTGAATGGCGTATGTTCGTCTTCGTTAGCCTAGTCAGTGCAGAAGAGTAGACGTTAAACCCCATTTCATTCATTTAAACAATTAAATTGGGTTGAAACCACCACCGATGACTTTATTGTTGTTATGATATTAACTGTCCCCCGCCTTTCGAAGAAAGCAGGGGACTATTAAAATGGGTTCGTCCGTCTGTCTGTCCGTCCGTCCGTCTGTCCGTCACACTTTTTGGGACACAATAACTTGATTTCTAATTGGGCTAGAAAGTTCAAACTTGGTGTAGGTGTTTATTAGGCCAATGCCTTAATGGAGTTCGAAGATGACCTTGCTCTGCTTAGGGTAAGCAGAGATAAGCAATTTTATTGGTTAATGCTTTGGGACACGATAATTTAAGTCCAATTAAGTGAGAATGATGACACTTGGTGTATATTTTCATTACATCCATCCTTTGACCAAGTTCGATAATGAGCATTTTCTGCTCAGGGTAAGCAGAACGATAAGCAATTTGATTGGCCGAGACTTTGGAACACAATAACTCTCCTTCTAATTGAGCTAATATGTTCAAACTTGGTGTAGGCGTTCATTTGGTGAATGACTTGATGTAGTTCGATGATGAACATGGTCTGCTTACGGTAGGCAGAGATAATCTATCTGATTTGTTGATGCTTTGGTTATAATTAAGTGAGAGCGATGAAACTCCAAATACAGATTCATTATATCATTACCTTGATTAAGGTCGATGGTGAGAACTTTCTGCTTAGGCTAAGGAGCGATTTTTTAAACACTCAAGAGGTATGTATTCCTGGCATTTTGTTTTCAAACATATTTTTATATGGTATAGTTGGCCGAAGGGAGAATACCATGTGTCTGTCTGTTCCTCAGTATGTTCCACTTTCAGAACACAACAATTCTTGGAGTTTATGACATAACGTGAATATCGTCAATAATGTCGATGATGACCACTTTTAATTTAAGCTTACCAGAGATAATCAATTCTATTGGTCGATGCTTTGAAAACGTTAACTTGTAATTAGGCATCCGGTTCATAAGAGGATTTTCAGCATTCTGCGAGTTATCCCCCTTTTCCGAAAAAATCTTGACCGCGACAGAATCTATAACGATGACATCACACGCACTTGACCCGGGCAACGTCCAGTGGTACAGGTGGTGGAACAGGCCTGCAATACGTTGGCTAATATTTCTATTTCTAAACAAAAACAGATTTAAATAGTTCGTCAATCGTATTAAGAAAAAAACTTATTAGCGTTCACAAGGTGTTAAATTTTTATATATTCGGAACTTAAAAGGTGATATTAATAAGGCATGGAAACGAAAAAAACTTGGAAACAAAAAGTACTCGTTGATCACGTTCCAATTTGTAGTAGACATGTTGTTGACGGAAACAAACAACATTTGCCAACATTAATACCACGAATAGTCAATACAGACATTATTTGGCCAAAGTCGTTGAATTATCAACAAAAAACATTAGATTTCGGTTAATTTAATGTGCCAGAAACACCTTCACCAACATACAGGGTATAGAAATATTATCCAGCGTAACGTAGACCAGTACCAGCAGCTGTCCCACAGGAAGTTGCCCGATGAACTTCACACCATCTTTTTCTGAGATCGCTATAGGTTCTAATAGAATTCTTTCAAATTTGATGGGAAGTATCAGCTTGGGTCATCACAGGATGACACCTATCGATATTAAGATCTCTACAACTTTCCGTTGGGGCAGAACGATCTGCCTACTACGGTGTTGGCGAGTAACGGGGATTCAGGATTTGATTCCGGATAGGGAGCCTGCGAAACGACGACTACCACCTCCTAGGAGGGTAGCAGGAGCTCAACCTACCAAATCCCGACACGGGTAGGTAGTGACAAAAAATAACGCGACAGGGCCCTTTCGTGGTCGCCGCTGGCGGAATGAGCGTAATTTAAAAGTGTATGCGGGGAACTATTTGAGGGCAAGCCTCAGCAATTCCAGCTCCAATGGCATATCTCAGAGTCGCTGTATGGAAGGGTATCGCTGCCATTATTAAACATACATTATACAAGAGCTAAATCTGCCTATTGCTAGACTTTATTTAGGCTTCAGATGTTATAGAAATTATTAATTAGACCTTTATTTACACGACAAGCTCTGAATCAACATTTTCTTTTTTTATCATCTATTTTTGAATTATTATAGCAAGAATGGCCAACTCTTTATAAAACTCTTAACTAATATATCTTTAAATGCTCTGCTAAAATGTCTTTGCAATTGATTATATGTAAAACGTACAATGTACAAAGTCCTAATTAATACCAGTAATGATAAAGTCAAAATACCTCAAGGGCCAATAATCAATCAAAATGACATTTTTGGGTCTCAAAAGCGACACGGTCGGGCGCGATACGGTGCGGGTCCAATCGGCGATTTCTCTGAAGTCCGTAACCAGCGAACGCGGTGAGGTGGACTTCGGGGTCTTGCCTTTTTTTCTCCATCTGTCAAACCGAGTCCACCCGAGTCCACATGAACACATTGGCGTGCAGTTAAAAGATCCTTTCGCAGTTGGAATTCGATATAAGATTAGGCCGTAGCGCCGCTGCCCGGGCATGATTTCCCTCATAGCACAGTGTATGGCGTATGCCCAGCTTCATTAGCCCAGTCGGAGCAGAACTTTAGGATGGAAAAAACCTATTTCATTTCATTTCATGTGTCTATGTATATTGTGTCCTGTCCGTGGGTTTGTCTTGTGTAATTGTGTATTATATTATATCATACTGGTAATAGTATTGAATTGTAAATAATTTTATCATACAGATAAAAATAAAACCAATCTGATGACAGAACAAGACAAGACAAGGCATCAGCCAGAAGACTTGCTTAAAGAATTAGAGAACCTGAAGAAACAATTCAAAACAATGAAACTAACAAAAGATGTATATTCCAAACGGAAGATGAAAAAAATCAAAAATAGAATACGTGAAAAAGAAAAATACATAAAACGAACAGAAAAGATAGAAGCTCTGAAAAAGAAAACACTTGATGACCTGGCGCCTGGTACGTTTGGGCATTTTTATGCGCGAACTCTTAGGTTTTTTTTTACTGGCATGCGCACAGGTACTATTTCTTTTTCTTTTAACAAGTACCCAAATCGGGGATTTCGTGCGGAGGTAGTTCGGAGGTAAACAGTCTGTGAAGTACAACACTTGCCACTGTACCTGTGTATCGCTAATTATAAACCGAATGTGTGAAGACAGTTCATACATATCACTCATGTTGGCGAGTAACGGGGATTCAGGATTTGATTCCGGATAGGGAGCCTGCGAAACGACGACTACCACCTCCTAGGAGGGTAGCAGGAGCTCAACCTACCAAATCCCGACACGGGTAGGTAGTGACAAAAAATAACGCGACAGGGCCCTTTCGTGGTCGCCGCTGGCGGAATGAGCGTAATTTAAAAGTGTATGCGGGGAACTATTTGAGGGCAAGCCTCAGCAATTCCAGCTCCAATGGCATATCTCAGAGTCGCTGTATGGAAGGGTATCGCTGCCATTATTAAACATACATTAGGCAAGAGCTAAATCTGCCTATTGCTAGACTTTATTTAGGCTTCAGATGTTATAGAAATTATTAATTAGACCTTTATTTACACGACAAGCTCTGAATCAACATTTTCTTTTTTTATCATCTATTTTTGAATTATTATAGCAAGAATGGCCAACTCTTTATAAAACTCTTAACTAATATATCTTTAAATGCTCTGCTAAAATGTCTTTGCAATTGATTATATGTAAAACGTACAATGTACAAAGTCCTAATTAATACCAGTAATGATAAAGTCAAAATACCTAAAGGGCCAATAATCAATCAAAATGACATTTTTGGGTCTCAAAAGCGACACGGTCGGGCGCGATACGGTGCGGGTCCAATCGGCGATTTCTCTGAAGTCCGTAACCAGCGAACGCGGTGAGGTGGACTTCGGGGTCTTGCCTTTTTTTCTCCATCTGTCAAACCGAGTCCACCCGAGTCCACATGAACACATTGGCGTGCAGTTAAAAGATCCTTTCGCAGTTGGAATTCGATATAAGATTAGGCCGTAGCGCCGCTGCCCGGGCATGATTTCCCTCATAGCACAGTGTATGGCGTATGCCCAGCTTCATTAGCCCAGTCGGAGCAGAACTTTAGGATGGAAAAAACCTATTTCATTTCATTTCATGTGTCTATGTATATTGTGTCCTGTCCGTGGGTTTGTCTTGTGTAATTGTGTATTATATTATATCATACTGGTAATAGTATTGAATTGTAAATAATTTTATCATACAGATAAAAATAAAACCAATCTGATGACAGAACAAGACAAGACAAGGCATCAGCCAGAAGACTTGCTTAAAGAATTAGAGAACCTGAAGAAACAATTCAAAACAATGAAACTAACAAAAGATGTATATTCCAAACGGAAGATGAAAAAAATCAAAAATAGAATACGTGAAAAAGAAAAATACATAAAACGAACAGAAAAGATAGAAGCTCTGAAAAAGAAAACACTTGATGACCTGGCGCCTGGTACGTTTGGGCATTTTTATGCGCGAACTCTTAGGTTTTTTTTTACTGGCATGCGCACAGGTACTATTTCTTTTTCTTTTAACAAGTACCCAAATCGGGGATTTCGTGCGGAGGTAGTTCGGAGGTAAACAGTCTGTGAAGTACAACACTTGCCACTGTACCTGTGTATCGCTAATTATAAACCGAATGTGTGAAGACAGTTCATACATATCACTCAAAAATTTTTCAGTACAAACTCAGTTGATTCACGCTCGATTTGCTACTAAACAAACCCATCGGTTTATTTTCTCAACAGTGTGACCCGAAGTGACCGCGGATTTATTGACCTTGTATGAACTTATCCATAGCTATATCCTTACACCGAGAGAAATTATCTAGTCTCGGTGAAAAGAACCATGGTCATCTGGTAGAAAATTACTTTTGTATTTTTTGGAACGGAAAACAGTGTTTTTAGAAGCAAACTAACCTGCCGCACATGAGGAAGTCATTATACTAATAATAAAAGGCGAGACCTCTTTTTGCGGCGCAGGCTTATCACTGAGTAGTAAACCGTCCACAAACAATAATATAGGAAGCCTAGTGACGAGTGTAGTAAGTAGGCTATAGACTATAGGTTTGAGTCGAGATTACTCGCTTTCAGTTTACTCTGTTTTTGCGATAACCAATTATGTGAGAAATACCATACTGACATTCGGTTTTTAAAAGTTGTACGCGAACTAAATGCGTTTGTTAGATACTGACAGAGCAGCCCCGAGTCGAACAATCGCCGCCCGAGGTGTCTTCGTCAGCTAGTTTCACAATATCGTGCAATAGGTGTATTAATGTGATTTTTAGGTTTAACCCCGCAAACAATGCCAAAATAGTGTTTTCACTGCTTACAGAAAACTGAAATTTTAAAAAAAAAATTTTTATGAGGGTGACCCTCCCACACACTCCCTATCGAGCTGCCGCTCGGTCTGCGCAGCCTCATGCCTGGCACGAATTGTCAACATTGTATATTTTTCCGTTTCCGCCCTCCCCCCCCCACCACAATATATATTTCACGACTACGTTGCGACGGTACCAGCATACCCAGTTGTTGACACCCATTACATCACTCCTGTCTAACAAATCATAAAGCTGTGGTGTTACGGTGGCGGCATAGTATTTCACCGTAACACCACAGCCACTCTAACCATTCATAATACATCTAACTATCCCTTTACAGCACTTCACTCCCTACACATTTCCCCTCGTCCTACTTTCCCAAACGTCAACAACACATCTCATACATCCAGTTCGCTGATTAACCCTTGTACCACGTCTACTGGATGAGAAAGGTAGGTTGATATTTATTTCAAATATTTACACCATACACGTTAAAGGTATAACGTCATTCATTCGTCACACCTTAAAGGTATTCACGTCCATATAACTATATAAATAGGTCACGTGGCGGCCATTCTAGTCTATTTATATATTTCTATGATTACGTCATATACCTATGGTCATTCTAGCTATGACTGGCAAGGCGAAAATTCGTTTTACGGATGTTTGTTATGACATTACTTTCAAATTCTTTAACAATTAAAGCAAGTTTTGGAGAAAACTGTGAATTAAAACTGTAGAATACGCATGTGAACGACCGAAGCAGATAGTGATTAGCATAATAAAACCTTTGAAATATGTTCATTTGTTTAGGCCTACATGAATATATCCTCATACTTTGATGCAGCATTTACAAATGAAATAACTTTTCACATAAGGGGGCCTACAATCCCTATCAATTTATAATGCCTTAATCCAAAGTAGCAAATAATACTTGTAACGTACATCTTTCGTAGGTCATTAATTAGTATACGGTCAACATTATAATGTGTAGTAGTCCGGTGGCTGAGGGAGGGACTCGCCAACCCAGCTGTAAATTTCTAGACCAGTTTTTATACGCCCACATTTTTATGTGGACTTATATTGTCGTCACCCCTGTCCGGCCGGACGTCCATCCATAATTGTTTGTGGACACTATACGGGTCACAATTTTTATCCGATTTAATGGAAAATTCAAATATAGGTTTATCTACCTAAGATCTCGGTTCCTTTTGATATTGGCATGTATCGGACCGTAACTTCATAGAATATGTCCCCTGATTGTACGCAAAATCGCGTATTTAGCTTGTAGACCCTATAGAGGTCACAATTTTTATCTGATTTGAAATGTAAGTTTATAACCCAACTATAGATCTTGGTTCCTTTCGATATTTGCACATATTGGAGCGTAACTTCCTGAATCCCGAATTATGGCCCCTGATTGTACGAAAAATCTTGCCTGAATAATTCACACTTTTTAGGTTTCATTTTTAACCCGTACTGACGGAAACGTGTTAAAACTGTTCTAAGATTAAATATGTGATCTTCAAATTTTTGCCCCATAACCAGCACATCATCAATAAAAGCCAACGATATATTCCAATTCAGGCCTTGCAGAACTAAATTTGCAGCGCGACTATACGTGGACGGACTATTGGAAAGGCCAAAGGGCATACATTTGAATTCGAAGAGTCCAAATTTAGTCAAAAAGGTTGTTTTCTTTTGATCTTCAGGTTTGACTTTAATCTGCCAATATGCGGAGTTCGCATCTAACTTTGAAAACCATTGATTACCTGCAAGGGTAGGCCTATCTAAACATTCTTCGATAATGGGTAAAGGATATACATCCTTAGTCGTAACTGCATTAAGAGCTCGATAGTCAATGCACCATCTTACATTTCCGTCAGGTTTGCGTATTAATAAGGGGGCCGACGCCCAATCCGAAGTGGAAGGTTCAATAACACCTGCTTTCGACATTTTCTTTAAATGGGCTTCCTCCTCAGAGGCAAAACACAAAGGTGTCCTACGCATCCGTTCCTTAATGGGCAAGGCATCCTCTGTGTGAATGGCATGTTCTATAGAAGTGAAATTTCCTAAGTCATATTCAGTTTGAGCAAAAACATCACTAAACTCAATCAATAACTCAGCTAATTGCTTTGCTTGGACGCTTGACAAATGCTTAATTGATCGTTCATATAAAGAAGCTAAATGTTCAGATATCTCCTGAATACCATCTTCATTTAATACCTCATTTACCTTGAAAGGACCTACAGGATCAAGGGTGGGGGACCCCGGAAAAGAATCTCCTAAGGGGATAGGAAATATTGATTCCTTTCCAACCTCATAGGCTTGTCCAATTATGTCATTAGATTTTAAAACAATGTCCTTATCGGACGCATTAATCAAACATACTGTGGGATAATCAGTATTCGAATGAAGAGTACGACCGATAAGTAACTGTTCACTTTCTATAGGCTCTATCATATAATCTTTTAATGTCCTATCCATTTTACAAGGTAGACGAGTGACTGACCTAGCCGTAATAATAGTTTTAGTAGGGACCATAACCTGGGCAGTATATGGAGTACTATCCGTATTACACGTAGGCCTTAGTCCTGTTACTATGGGAATAGTCTCATCACCTACTAGTAAACACTCATGTAAAAAGTCAATAATAACTTTCCATTTTCTAAGAAAATTTAACCCCAGAAGGGCTGTATCAGCTATTGGGGCTACATAAACATTATCTGTGAACGTAACAGACCCTATTCGGAGAGTAACGGGGCCAATTAGGAATCCAGGAAATGTCATATTTTCGGCTGCTGCATGTATGGTAATATCACTAATTTTGGGTGGCTTAATTTCAATCTGATCATAAACCTCAGGCGATATTATAGTACAATCCGAACCAGTGTCAATTAACGACTCAGTAACTAAATTTTCTATTGTTAAAGGGACTCTATATGCAATAACAGAGGGTAACCTAGCAACAGAAATTTCATCATCAGGCTTAGAAACACTATCACTCCTCCCAACCTTGGATATAGGGGCAATGTCAACATGACATTTGTCTACAGGTTCAGGTAGGGGTGCTTGTTTCAGGTTTGGGCCTTGTTCAACAGGGATCGAGGGAAGGCCTACTGCCTCGTCCCTTGATCGTTTAAATTATCACTGTCTTTAAAGCTTAATTGTTTCATTGCAGAGGGAGGTAATTGCGAATTAGAAGGTCGCAAATGACATTCACTCTTATAATGTCCCACCTGTCCACATCCGAAACATGTCACACTTGTCCTATTAGGTGAAGGGGAGGACCTTCTCCTATTTAAAGTCAAAATTAAAGTGGCTATCATATCCTTAAGTTGAGTTATTTCCTTCTTCATCTGACCTATTTCCGACTCCTCTTTAGGTTTTTCAGGGGTGGCCTTAACATTTAAACTGGGAGGTTTAAGTTGATTGCGCACAGGCGAAGGACTAGTCCTACGTACATGGGGATATACCGGACTATATTCCACTGCTGTTTGCATATCTGCTTGAGGCATTTCCCTAAATCCTACTTGAGAGGGACTGGGTGATCTTGACTCAGGGTAGTAATAAGTACGACTAACATGAGAAGATCTCGGGTCTTTATATACTCGTCGAGGGAGCGAGGATCGAGATTGGCGAGAATTAAACTTAGCCGAATCATAGTCATCATTCCTATCTGTTCGGGGACAATTTCCAATCTCGGGTGCATTAAGAAATCCTACCTCTCTATCTCCCCCGGGATAACCACTACCCCTATTCCTATCTGAAGTAGATTTTAACGGAATTACGCTGTTGACATGAGTAAACCACTGCAACCGTTCAACCGCTTCCTCGATGTCAATTAACCTCAAGTTAGCGACAAATCTGCCCGCTTCTGGGTTATTACATCCCGAAACCAATTTCAAAACCGATTGCCTAGCTATAAAATCATCCGACGACAAACCAGAGTAAGCTCGGTATGCTAACTGCTGTACACGATCGCTCCAATCACTTATCGACTCATTAAGACCTTGAGTTGCGGTCTGAAACTCAACTTGAGCAGCCTCCGGAATAGTTTGACCTCCTAAGCGTTTTTGCATCATTTCTAAAGATGATTTAAAATTCATGCGAGGAAATCTTCGAGTCATACTTGTAAAGTATTCCGCTGCCTTATCCGTCAAACAATAACATAGATAATCCTTACACCGAGAGCTATGAGACCCCCAGGGCTGGGACAGGGCAAAACGGATAAACTTATCACTAAAAGTATCCCAACTTCCATCTGATTTCCCGTTATAAACTAAAGAACGAGGAATCGTTGAGGGGTTAAAGGAATCCTCTCTTGGTTGATATCTATTGTCATGTCTTAAAACCTCCCCTCCCTTTCAAATGTATTGGGGTAAGGTTGGGGTTCCCTACATCTTACATCTTGACTTGGGTACAAAGGGGGTTGCATGCATGACCGGGGATCCTCTAAAACTACCTCTGCCTCCTCCAGAAAAGCTTCCCTATAATCATAGGGTTCCGATTTAACATGCCATTTAGACTCGGTACTAAAATCTAATTTTTCTGCCATGATATGATTATTGTTGATTTCAGTAAACTAATTTTATATGCAACAAAAATCTAACACATAACCCTTTCAGATAACCTAAGATATAGGGGCTTTACTATAAAAGTAATCTAAGAATATAATTCAACTTAATCAAGTCAAGAATTAAACTTAATCTAAAAACCTTCCCAAAAGTTTGACTATTTTCTCAAAAGTCGGCCATTTTGGTTGTTTACTTCCGGCTAAAATGCCTATCGGGAAATTCCTGAGTTAATTATCTTTTCCACCTAACGTAAACCTAGACCAATAAATATCACTAAGTACCAATAAATATCACTAAGTACCAATTAATATCCTTGCAGATTATTAATAAAAGTGAGAGAAATATTATAAACCCCAGTGAGGTAATCTAAATTACTTGTTGAATTTCCTAATCCTATATCACTAAACTAATACTACTGATGTGGCTAGAGCTAACCCCAAGCACTCAGAAAGCATGCGTTACCAAGGTGACGGCTAGTACTTTCCCGCGCTTTCGAGTATACTATGTCAACAATTTAAATAATATATAATATATGGGTTTGCCCAATTGCAATATGAACTACAATTACCCTAATAAATATATCAGATACGAAATTACAATCAATACTACTTTTTATAATTTACCATGGGCCATTAGGTGAATTATATCCACTCAATCCAGGGGAAACGGGATTTTTAAACTAACTCCCACTAACACCTTACCCACAAAAGTTCAAAAGTCGACAGCGCCATTTATAGTAAAATTGGGTATCTATCTGCCTCTAGATTGGGTTTAGGCCCATCTATTGACCTCACCGGTGATGGCCAAGTATTGGTAAGGCTTGATGGGTCAAGGGGTGTTTTCCCTGTACAGCTAAGTCTATCTTCAGTATATCTGAGTATAGATAAAAGGGTACTTATCAACCAATGGTCTGATCAATCTAAGTCAACTTCTGATTTCTGTCTTATGTCTGTCTTCTAAATCACCACAACAATTCTTGTCCAACACAGCTGGGTTGCATCATTCAAATCACAACAGGATATAGAAAAGTGAGAGAGGACATGTGAATATCAAACTGGCCTTTTATCTCTTATTCAATGCACATGCATTGGACCAGCCCACTATTAAACCTGGCCCAGTCTATTATAGACATAAGGTAGACTGGGCAATTCTACAACACTGTATAGAAGCCTTAACGTGACAGACATTAAATTGTCCTCCATAGTATTTGAGTCAGATTCTCCGTACATTGGCAAGTCACCGTGGAGTGTAATTGTAGCAGGATCGATGGACAACGGACTATCCCCTTTCCAGGTCGCGGGTTGAACGAAAAGAGACAAAGACAGGAACACAGCTATACAGTTTATTTACAATACACAGGAACAAAACAGCCAATTATTTACAGAAAGAAGAACAAGTAGAAGACAAGAAGAAGAGCACTGAAATGACAAAATAACTAAATTAGCAAATAAGAATAAATATATATAAAAAAGGATGTAGCTTAGAAATAGCTTCTAATAACTAATCATATAATATAGAGAGATACATTGCCTATTACAGGTAATAATAATGGAGCATTTAGAACTATTATACATAAATAACATAACAAAATGAGAAACTAACTATAAACATACCCTGATAAAGGTGCTCTTAAGAAATGAAGAATTAGAACTAATAATGTATAAGGAAACCATATACAGGTACAAAAGAGAGAAACACTAAAAGATAAAACACCAAATTAGACATACATTTTAAAATATAAGTGTTTACTTCTTTAGATTGATTATACATGTATTATTTTATTTATAACTTATATGAGAATAAAACAGTATTTAAATTAGAAAGGAATTGTCTTGTATTATATTGTCAAGTCAAGTTAAACAAATATAAACCTACCCGAATTAGTAAATGCAGTGCTGTGGAAAGAAATTGTTGCCTTCAAGATGGAGATCTAAGAAAAAGTGACTAAAGGTGAAACATGATGTTAGGACAGTATCTAAGTAACAGAATACTACTCACCATGTTAAAATAACATGTTTAAACTATAAACTAAACTAATTATACCAACTGGAAAAACAAAACTTACTGGATATACAGGACAATAGAACTGGATAAAATACTTAAAGAGAATATCACACCAAATACTTAAAGAGAATATACCACCCTACTACACTATCCCCCCAGCACAAGAAGTGGCGTCCCGACACGAACAACCCTAAACAGTCTACAGCACACCATAATAAAAACAACAATATACATATATAATACAAAAATAATGAACCAATCCACATACCCAAACCATAATCCATAAACAAAACCAAGTCGTCATCAAGTAAAACTGTAAGCAACTGATAATGGAATTTATAATCTAACTAATAATGCAAAAATGAAAAAAAAAAAAAAAAAATCGTTATTAAAATACCAGTAGATACAACTAATATAAATCAAAGCCAAACAGTATTCTCTAAAACCCAAGCATCAGATTTCATCCAAGTAGGTGGTTTACGTTGTCGTTTAGGAGCTAGAACTGGTTGTGAAATATCATCAGAGGAAATATCAGGATCAGGTGGAGAAATTGAATCATCAGAATTATCAGTAACAGTAATATTAGGAACGGTCATATCAGGAATATCTGGAACAGTAATATGAGGAATAATAATATCCGGAACAGAAATATCAGGTAACACGTTGGTAACACTAACAGAAGAATTGGATGAAATATTAACATTTGAATTATTATCGTTATCAATCGTGTGAGGTTGAGAAATGGGAAAATCAGGAATACTAACATCAGGTGAAGAACGAACACGTGGAAGTGGAACATTTAATCGTGGGGCAGGAATAGGTCGACCAGAAGAACTTATCGGAAGTAGAAGATTTCTGTGTAGAGTACGTCTTAATGAAGTGTCAGCCTTCTGAACTACAAATACTGGAATTTTAACATCTGGTTGTGAAATAACTGTATAACAATCATTCTCCCATTTATCTGCAAGTTTATTTTTACCTCTGATCTGTACATTACGAACTAACACAACATCACCAACATGTAGATTAGCACCTCGAGTTTTCACATCGTAATAAAGTTTCTGCTTCTGCTGCGCTTTCTGAATATTTTCTGTAGCAATATTGTTCACGGCTTTAAATTTATCTCGAAGTTCAGAAGCAAACTGTGTATAAGAACTACGTACATCCGTAGCAGAAGTATCTCCAAAAATTATATCAACAAGTAACTTAGGATTTCTACCAAACATCAAATAAAAAGGTGAAAAAGAAGTTGATTCATGTCTAGTAGAATTATAAATAAAAACTAAATAAGGAACGTGATCTTTCCATCTACCTTTCTGTTCTTCAGTAAGAGTACCTAGCATATCTAAAAGTGTTCTGTTGAAGCGTTCACATAAACCGTTTCCCATCGGATGATATGGAGTAGTACGTGATTTGTGTATACCTAAAATAGTGCAGACTTCTTTGATTATATTGGACTCAAAATTTCGACCTTGATCAGAATGAAGTTTTGCAGGAATTCCATATGGTAGGAAGAAATTATGAATTAATGCTCTGGCGGTGGTTTTAGCAGTCTGGTTTTTAGTTGGAACAGCAACAGCAAATTTTGTGAAGTGGTCAGTAATAATTAAAATGTTTTCAATACCACCCTTAGAAGGTTCTAAACTCAAAACATCTGTACAAACAAGCTGTAATGGTTCTGAAGTTTGAATACTGACTAAAGGCGCTCTAATATTCTGCTGAGGAGACTTTCGGCGAATACATCTGTCGCAGGATCTGACATACTGCTCTACATACTTCGACATTGAAGGCCAGAAGAAGCGTGATTTGACCAAGTCCAATGTGCGATCACGACCCATGTGACCCATCTTGTCATGAAGTAATGATAAAACAAGTTGCCGAAGAGAAACAGGTAAAACAATTTGAAACACAGTATCAGATGAAGGTGAAGGTAAGTATTTCCTATATAAAATATCATCTTTTACAATTAAATTATCCCAATGACGTAATATAACTTGTGAGTCTTTATCAATATAAAACAGAAATGTATCAGACGGCTTACAACCAGTTTTCACAAAATGAATGATATTCCGTATTCCCAAACAGTCTTGTTGAGCTTTTAAAATCTTAGAATTGTCAATTAATTTAGTATATTCTGTAGGAATTCCAATAATAGGAGACATAAAACAATCAATTACATCTTGGTTAAAAGAAAAAGTTTCAATTTTACTATGCTCAACGTCGGTGAAATTAGTTATAGCAGATACCACAGAATTATCTACACATGAAACGGGAAGTCTTGATAAAGCGTCTGCAGCAACATTACGAGATCCAGGCAAGTATTCTAAAGAAAAATCAAATGCAGAAAGATCAGCTAACCATCTATGACCTGTAGCATCAAGTTTTGCGGAAGAAAGAACATATGTAAGTGGATTATTGTCTGTTTTAACAGTGAATTTGTTGCCATAAAGATAATCTTGAAATTTTTGTGTGACTGCCCATTTCAAAGCTAGGAATTCAAGTTTATGTGCTGGATAATTCTTTTCACTTTTTGTAATACTCCGGCTGGCATATGCAATTACTCTTTGTTTTCCTTCCTGAATTTGATATAAAATAGCACCTAAACCATGAGAACTAGCATCTGTTTCTAATATGAAAGGTTGAGTAAAATCAGCGAAAGCTAAGATAGGAGAAGAAGTTAAATGAGAAATGAGATTATCAAAAGCCTGTTGTTGTTCTGCACTCCAATGAAATGAATTACAATTAGATCTTTTTTGTTTTTTAGGTGAATCGCCAACAAGAAGATCAGTTAAAGGTCGAGCAATCTTAGCATAATCCTTGATGAAGCGTCTGAAATATCCACAAAATCCAAGAAAACTGCGTACTTTTGAAACAGATGTAGGAATAGGCCAGCTTGTAAGAGTAGAAATTTTATCAGGGTCAGCTTTAATACCATCTTCAGAAATTATATGCCCTAAATATTTCAATGATGACTGCAGAAATTCACATTTTGAAGGTTTTAACTTAAGATTGTGCTTCCTTAGCCTGGAGAATACTGAACGAAGACGAAAAATGTGTTCATCAAATGTTTTAGAAAATACAATGATATCGTCAATATAAATTAAACAATGAAATAAATGAATATCTGACATACATCGCTCTAAACAACGCTGAAAAGAACTAGGTGCGTTGGTTAATCCGAATGGCATAGAATTGAACTCCCAAAAGCCAAGGCTACCTGTAGTGAAAGCTGTTTTACATTTATCTTCTTCTGCCATCTCAATCTGCCAATATCCACTTTTTAAGTCTAAAGATGAAAAATATTTTGAGCCATTTAATGAATCTAAAATCTCGTCTATGCGAGGAAGAGCATAAGAATCACGAACAGTTTTTGAATTGAGCTTTCTATAATCTACGCAGAATCGTAACGAACCATCTTTTTTCCGTACAAGTACAACAGGAGAAGCAAATGGACTGTTAGAAGGACGAATGACATCAGCCTTAATCATATCATTAATATGGTCTTTAACTTCTTGAAACATGGAAGGAGGTATTCTACGATGCCGTTGCCTAAATGGGGTATAATCAGTTAGTTTAATTTTATGTTTCATAATATCAGTTCTGCCAAAATCAGTGTCAGACATGCTGAAAATATCTTTGAATTCATTGAGAAGGTCTTTAAGTTGCTGTGTTTCACCCGGAGCACATTTAGAATTAACTGAATTAAAATTGAATAAATCTTCGAAAGGTTTAGAAGGGGAATCATGTGAACTAGAAAAAGGAGAATCATTGACAATATTTACTTGTTGAAGTTGACAAAGAACACTATTACGAGAAATAGTAATCGGCTTACTTGAAGAATTAGTGATATTTATATGGATATTAGAAGAAGGTTTTACAATCCCAGGAACTACATGAAGGAAACCAGGAATTGAATTGTAGTCTAACGCCAAATAATGTTTACCAGGTAGAAGTTTAGATAAATTACAGCTACCAACAACAACCATAGAAGAATTTGCTGGAACAGTTACAGGCTTAGAAGTATTTTTTAAAAATTGAGGAACATTACTAGCATTAATCGTATCACATAAAACTGAAAACGTAGAATTCCACACAGTAGATTTAGTCTGAACATTACACAACCTAGATAAAATATTTGTACCAATTAAAAATGGAACCTTTGAATTGAAAGAACATGAAGGAACAATTAAAACTAAGGCTTGCAAATCTTCTGAAGTATCTGGAATACGAACTGGAACTGAAATATATCCAAGATATGAAACCGGAACACCACCTGCAGCACGAACATCTAACAAATCATTCAAAGGATAAATATGAAATTCTGATAAATATTTATGATGAAAATCTTCTGACAAAGTAGAAATCATAGAACCAGAATCCAATAATGAAGGACATAAAATATTATTAACTAAAATATCAGCAACATTTGAACTTCCAACTAAATTAGAAATAAAATTTGAGGCATTATCTTTCTGGGAGAAAACATCAGGACTCATCGACCGCCTCGTGGAACAAGTCCCTGATAGTTTAAAGGGCAGATTCTATCACCTTGTCTGTGTCCAGGCTGTTGGCATTTAAAACAAATGGGACTAATACGAGGTGGATTTGAAGTTGTAAAACGTGGCGGAGGACGAAAAGCTGGGTTTAACGAAGGTGTGGGCGGAGGAACTGAAAAATCTTGCGCTTGAGGATTTCTAGGTGGATAAGATCTTGAACGAGGCATCGACATTCGTTCCATATCATTTATTCTAAAGCTGATATTTTTAATTTGATCTGAAAGACATGAAATCTGCTGTAAAACTGCTCTCTGGAAATTATCAGAAGAATTTACAGGACTTGGAGGTATAACTGAAGGATGACTTGAACTCTCTGGAAAACATGAAACTAAATTTAATTCTTCTTCAGATTTTCTTACCGCTGTCATTAATTCCGAAAATGAAACACCAGAATCGAGAATATGCTGTGTGTTGCTCCTGACTAATGAATTATGAAGTCCATGCCAAAATTTATCTTTAAGAATTTTATCAGAGGAAGACTCAGTTAAAATACCTGATGAAATTAACTTTATTACAATATGTTGAACTCTACATGCCCAAGATGAAATCGATTCAGAATCAGTCTGTTTAGAAGTGTGTAGCTTATTAAGTAGGACTTCCGAAGATAGAATATCGCCAAATAACGGATCAAGGTGACTAAACAATTCCTCCAAAGATTGTGGATTTAAACCAACAAGAAAATCCGCTGCAGTACCCCTGGATGCCCTACGAACAGTATTAATAATTACAGGTGTAGAATGTGTACCTTCTTGCTGCAAACCAAGAATCTCTAATCGCCACTGGTTATATGACACATCACCCCTATTACCATCCCCAGAAAAAGTAGATAATCTAGGTGTCGAAAAAGCAGATGTCAAATATGTTGGAGAATATGATGAATAACGCCATGGTGGATTTGAATAAACAGACTGCCTATAAGGGTTTGACTGATGAATAGTGGAAGTTGTTTGAAATGACGGAGGAATACCATGTGAAACAACATTAGTGACAGTAGAAGGGGTAAAATTAGGTTGAAGGATCGGCCGTGGAGTGAAAGTATAATTACCAGGAATGTAAGTGTGTGATGGAGCTGAAGTAGTAACTGGCGACGAATGATTGGGCCTTACAGATGGATCATGACCAAGAACATCATGACAAATTTCATGTTGATATTCCAGATTCAAAGTTGACATAATACCTTTAATTTCATCAATAACTGCTCTAGTTAAATTTGCATCCTGGGATTGAGCCATGTTTACAAGATGGAAAATTGAAATAAGTTGAATACAAAAAAAATCCCCAAATTATACAACTAGAAATCGAAACTTTCAAATAACAAAACATCTAATTCAAATTTTAAATATTAAACAAACCATAAAGAGCTATCACTATCAACAAACTATACAAGTCCAGGATCAATCAGACATCAACTAAGCTATTTCAAATAAGTCTAAGTACCTAAACTGAAATACTAATATCCTAATCAATACTAATTCAGTTGAAGCTATGTCAAAAAATAATAATAATCAAGTCCAGAAGACAAGTCAAACAACACAAGAAATCTATAATATAAAACACACTCTGACGAAAATCACAAGTCCAAAAAAAAAAAAAAAAAAATTAAACCTGATCTGATTAAGATAAATCAAATCTAAATACCAACTACAGATACCACAATTTATAATTCAATTCAAAGTACGAATATTGTAAACCAAATGCATATATATAAACATATGCACCTACCAAATGTAAAGTAATTTATGAAAATAGAAGTATAGAAATGGAGAGATGTTACATGCAAGTGTATGTGTAGAAATTGTTAATTTATAGAACAAAGGGAAATGTAAACAAATAAAATGGCGGTCCTGTCATAAGGTCACTGTGTCAATGTCAGTAGGTCAATGTCACAATACCCTTACACTAAAGAGAAAACTTATTTAATTACAACGGCCAAACAAAATAAATTATTTGTACTACTATGTAAATAACTTATCCAAGTAAATATGTAAATTACTTATATTATGATTGCGTTCAATGTAAATATGTCACCTGTAAAAGGCATACACTTAATTATATATATGATAACTAGCAATAAATAAGTATGTTATAATATTATAAGAAAACTTTTGGATAATATTGTGTATTCAAGCGTCCTCAAATACACACACACACACAAACACACACAGTTAATGCCAATAAATAGAACTTATAATATTATAACAACCATTTCTAAAGTCACATCAAAAAAAAAAAAAAAAATATTAACCCCCACAAATATTAATGACTTGGCCAAGTATAAAATGAAATAACTTACAGATTACAGCGCTGATTCCCGCGAAATAAAATCCAATAAATACACAAACACAAAACACAGATCACAAAGCACAAAACTGGAACAATGTCTCTTTAAATCACGTTGGGCGCCATTTTGTAGCAGGATCGATGGACAACGGACTATCCCCTTTCCAGGTCGCGGGTTGAACGAAAAGAGACAAAGACAGGAACACAGCTATACAGTTTATTTACAATACACAGGAACAAAACAGCCAATTATTTACAGAAAGAAGAACAAGTAGAAGACAAGAAGAAGAGCACTGAAATGACAAAATAACTAAATTAGCAAATAAGAATAAATATATATAAAAAAGGATGTAGCTTAGAAATAGCTTCTAATAACTAATCATATAATATAGAGAGATACATTGCCTATTACAGGTAATAATAATGGAGCATTTAGAACTATTATACATAAATAACATAACAAAATGAGAAACTAACTATAAACATACCCTGATAAAGGTGCTCTTAAGAAATGAAGAATTAGAACTAATAATGTATAAGGAAACCATATACAGGTACAAAAGAGAGAAACACTAAAAGATAAAACAAACACCAAATTAGACATACATTTTAAAATATAAGTGTTTACTTCTTTAGATTGATTATACATGTATTATTTTATTTATAACTTATATGAGAATAAAACAGTATTTAAATTAGAAAGGAATTGTCTTGTATTATATTGTCAAGTCAAGTTAAACAAATATAAACCTACCCGAATTAGTAAATGCAGTGCTGTGGAAAGAAATTGTTGCCTTCAAGATGGAGATCTAAGAAAAAGTGACTAAAGGTGAAACATGATGTTAGGACAGTATCTAAGTAACAGAATACTACTCACCATGTTAAAATAACATGTTTAAACTATAAACTAAACTAATTATACCAACTGGAAAAACAAAACTTACTGGATATACAGGACAATAGAACTGGATAAAATACTTAAAGAGAATATCACACCAAATACTTAAAGAGAATATACCACCCTACTACATAATGTTGGTAGTAAAACAGTTTTCTAGGCTGCGTAATATTCCTGTCAGAGTTCTTCTTTTAGTCTCTAATGATAACTGTCGTCGTTTGTACCGCCTGGTGAGCAGCCTGGTCAAGAATTGCCGCGTGTTAGAGGGTTCGCACTTTGTGTAGCTCTCTTCACGCGACCACTAGGCCTACTGGGGAAACGAAGTTTTTTTTAATTAAGCTTTCATATTACATATGAAAGCTTATTGTTTCTGTTAAGATTATTATTGTTATTTTTTTTTTGTGTTTTGTCCACAAATCGGATTTCTCAGAATCTAACCATAGGATCGTTCTGAAACTTTTACCTATCCCCCCAAAAATGGGTGGTGGCTGTTGATTAAATATATTTTCAAAACGTTTTACGAATCCGAAATCACCGAATTTTACGAAGGAATGCATTTGACCTACAATGCTGTAACTCTGTGACTATTTGACCTATTTTACTAATTCTTTTTTCTTTGAGTATCTTGAAACATTTACTTCAAATCTGCAATTTCGGATTTTGGCATTTCGAAAATTCGTCGCTGTCATTTCGAACCGGAAGTTATTATCAATTTGACAACTTCTTTAATAGTTGTGCGATTTTCGTGAAATTTAGAATGTTAGTAGATCTTGCCAATGCGACTTCAATGATGTCCTCGGAAATTTTCTAAATTATCTCCCCTTGGTGAAATTAAGGATCAAATTTTTCAAAAAAATCGACGAAATATAGGTCAAATTGCCTTGAAAATTTTTTTCTGTACTAGCTAAGACAGTACTGATGAGTACACAAAAGTGCCACCATCTCAAAATGTGAAAAGTCCATACGGCTTTTGCAATATTTTACTTAAAGACATAAGAGTTACATTTTCTGAATGCTTGAAGGAAAGCCTAAAAATCTATCGGTTTAGAATTTTGATTTAGGTCAACTGATGGACGCCATTTTGAAATGAAAATGAAAATTAGTGAAAAATCCACATTTATGGGCTTGAAAACATACACAATTGGTCGTGGCTTAGAGAATCTGTCTCCTATTACCGAAATTAATACATTTGAGGATAGCCTGGATCATGGTCGAATGTTTGGTATTTGAATATTTCAAAAATTCGAATTTCTCCTTTGATGTTTTCCGTGCCGACAAGGTTGTTTTCGAGTTTAGCTGGTTTTGATTTCGCGCATGCGCTACACAGGAACCAACGGTACCATGAGTACTAAATTCCGGCGAGCAACTTTTCACGTTGGTACCTAGGCACCCTGAAAATTTCAAGGTGATACCTGCATTCGTTCAAGTCGTTTGTTCTTGTCACCTGCCTTTCGTCGTTTTTTTTTTCTAAGTCAATTTACGGCTTCCATGAGGGAAAAAAAGTGGAATTTCGCCGTGACACCGGCACCGATTGTCCGAAAACCATGAAATTTGGACACAATACGCCCATTACCACCCCGGACTCTGTGCTTTACCCCCATTTTGATCCCATTAAAAAAAAAGAGTTTTAGCAAAAAAACGATTTTCGGAATTTAATATTGGTTTTAACCCTGTAATACCCAGACATGATATATTATTATAATCCCTATGAAATATTTTAATTATTTACTGCTATAATATGAATTATCACTTATTCCCCGTTAAATAAATATCGGTCACCTGGTGCCGCTGTACAACTGAAAGGACACTGGCCTCAAGTCAATTTACGGAGAGAGAGAGAGAGAGAGAAATGGGGTTTAACGTCCACTCGACACAAACTAGGTCATTTCGGGACCAACATATGGTTTAATTTTATTTCAATAATTCGCTTGCGCGTAGGGGTCTTTAGCAGTGGGAGGACCCGGAGAAAACCCACAAGGTTGGACAGGCGACCCTACTCCTTGCGTCAATTTACGGCTTCCATGAGGGGAAAAAAGTGGAATTTCGCCGTGACACCGGCACCGATTGTCCGAAAACCATGAAATTAGGACACAATACGCCCATTACCACCCCTGACTCTGTGCTTTACCCCCATTTTGATCACATTAAAAAGAAAAGAGTTTTAGCAAAAAAACGATTTTCGGAATTTAATATTGGTTTTAATTAATTTTGAAATTGGAAATGCAAAGAGATTTTATCGCCTCTTCCGTATGTGATAGGTATTGGTACTATACACATTATCCTTAAAAGACAATTTTTTAAACTGACCGTAACGATGCATCGACACTAGAAACCGAAATCGCCTATTTTGACCTATTTTGACTGCTGGGGTATCTTTCCGTACGTGACAAGGAGTAGGTCGCCCGTCCAACCTGTGTATTTTTTCAGGATCACCCGGTTTCCCCCCCACTGCTAGACCCCTACGCGCAAGCGAATTATTGAAATAAAATTGAACCATACGTTAGTCCCGAAATGACCTAGTTTGTGTCGAGTGGTCGATCAACCCCATTTCGCTCTCTCAATTTTAGCACTCCTAACTCTAAAACTAAATGCAAGGAACGGGCCTATTTACAGAGGTCACAATTTTAACCTACATGCACACCTACATGATATACATATTATTATAATCCCTATGGGATATTTTAATTATTTACTGTTATAATATGAATTATCACTTATTCCCCGTTAAATAAATATCGGTCACCGGGTGCAGCTGTACAACTTCAAGGACCTTGGCCTCAAGTGCATGGGACCAACTCTACATTTTCTGAAATGTCAATAAAAGCCCTGGAATGATTTCATTTAAAAATAATAATCAGAAAGTAAATCTATTTTTATTTATATGCTATTTGTTGCCAGAAAATATATTTTGTTACTAGTCTAATTCAAATTTAAAAATAAACAATGGGTCTGAGGCATATTTTATTGATATATAGAAATTAATGCAGTGTTCTCATTATGTGATAAAAGAGTGCCAGAAATGTCTCGAAATTCAGCCATTTGTGTATTTAGTATATCAAGTATATGCGTGTATTACAAAGCTCTGATTTGTGTGATTTGTGTACACCCCGCTCCCCCCCCCCTCCTCGTGTCACTATCATGTACATATCAATTCTGCTGCCAACCCACCCACGCGAACATGACTAAATTATGAAACATTGTCTAGTCGTTTGTATGTTACGACAAAACGAGGCCAGCGTGGCTCATTTGCTGCAGAACGGAAGGCCTTGCAAGGATTAGTGTCTAGTCGTTTGGATGGTACGAAAACCCGAGGTCAAAGTGGTTCCCCGTTGGCAGTGGTGAAGTATGGAAGGCCTAGCAAGGATCTGTGTCTAGTCGTTTCGATGGGACGAAAAACGCCCGTCCCCTCGTCCATGGTACAAGGATTAGTGCCTAGTCGCTTGGATGGTATGCAAAACAGAGGTCCCCGTTCTCTCCCTTTGTCTGTGGTTCTTGACCGAAGGCCCGACAACTAACTTTGCGTGCAGTTTTTTTAGGTAGCACGAAAAATCGAAATCCTGTGTGCATATTGGCGTGCACGAAAAATAACCCTTTGCATTTGGAATTTTATGCACCCACCCCACCCTCGAACAACGCTTAACATAACATTTTGTTTTCACTACCTACATTGTAAAATTTGTTTGATTTCAGATGACTTAGCCCCGGTTTTTCACAGTGAAAGATTTTGATGAAACTTGACATGCATGTTTATAACCCAAAGATATGGTTCCTTTCGATATTTGCGCATATCGAATCGTAACTTCATGAATTATGGTCCCTGATTGTAAGAAAAATCACTTTATATTTCGCGTGTTCTCTATCTATCTCTCGGAAATGGAATATGGAAATACACAAGCTAGCTAGTGTATTACAGGTTGGTGGTGGTGGGGATGAGGTCTTCTATTTGCAATGATTTTTTGACTACAAAATATACGCTCTAACTCATTACTCAAACTACAGCAAAAAAAAAGCGGAACGGAAACCCGATTTTATATATTCTTACAATAGCAACGCACTTCGGGATTAACTTAGAAATGGTTCCACTACTGATGTCTTCCGCCTTACTCCTGCCACAGTAGTGGCTTGTCCTACGGAGTTCCTTTCCGCAAGTTTTTTTTAGTCAAATGACTACAAAAAGGTTACTGGCCTATGTATAGCTCCCTTAATTTACACATAAACTGACCTAAAACTGCACTGCACATATAATAAACCAATTCCCATTGAAATAAAGGTGAAGCCGTACCGCATAATTATATGATTTGATGAAACCCAACTGCTACCTGAAGTTTCTCGCCTATCGAAGTTATAATATCCGCCGGTGTCATGGCGGCTCGCACATTATAAGAATCATTGCTTTGAAAATGTAGAACGCATTAACACAAAGAAAAACTGATGGGTAACTAGTTTAGTGGTCCAGTCTTCACTATAATTTGTGATAGAATTACTTATTTAAAAAAAACTGAATGATGTAAAAATAAAAATGGTTGGAGTGCCCAAGTTTAGATTTGTCGTTGATTTCATAAAGATGTTAGGATATAGAACGTTAAATACTGTGTGATTCAACATGGCGGCCGAGGGGTTTAATATGATATAAGTACGAAATACATGTACATGTAGTACCAAATGGTTTATATGTATGAGAGTCAAGGTTTGGACTAAATGTCTTGGGGAAGTAGGGGGCGACTAGCATGTGCCTCTCTTTAGTGGACCGATGTGAGATTGCCCATTGTATTAACTGGACGGGTAGGCCTATTCACCTTCAGTTATGTGTCAATGTCAAATAAGCGGCTTCGTATCAACACGGTCGGCTCTGGGCCGGTTTAATTCTACGTATCTCTCGTAGCTGAGAGAAAAAAGATTTTTTAGCCCAGAGAATATCTTCCGTCAGAGTGGTTGTTGATTCATAGATTCTAATAACCCCTTTTGAAGTTTATATGAAAGCTTTGATATCTGCTATGCAGATCTAGTTATTGTTATTTTTTTTTTGTGTTTTGTCCACAAATCGGATTTCTCAGAATCTAACCATAGGATCGTTCTGAAACTTTTACCTATCCCCCCAAAAATGGGTGGTGGCTGTTGATTAAATATAT